ATGATCAATTTCAATATTTTAAAGCATCAAAACAAACTTCTTTTAGTGAATTTTTTAGGTGATTGTTTAGGACCTCGTCCTTAAATAAACTTTTTCCATTGATGGTAGGTCTTGAATGCGGAGCATTTTTGAGGCTTTAAAATCGTTGACTAAGCTTTTTTAAAGTGTGCAAAAATGTTCCCCGTCTCTCTCAATAAAATAAATAAATATAGTTTTCTTTTTTGTGTCCCTAAGCACCAAGTTTGGTGATCCTGCTGGAACACAGAGTCATTTCCATACCAAAAATGGGGTGGCGTTTTTAGGGTTTCCAGGTAAAAGTAAAATATGACAAACTTTTGTAATGTAAATCATTAGATATATTATCTCAGTAAATTGAATTACATGAAAACCATGATAAGACGACTTATTTTATAATGTTCTAATATCTCTGACACTTCCTTTTTAAGTTAATTTCACAGCAAATCCAAATTTTTAAAACATATCTTAAGGCGATATCCCATTTATTATATCTTTTAACCTCCCAAATTAACTTTACCTTATCTTTTAAGTCCAACATATGGCTAAAAAGATTTTTTTGTTTCTATTGCTTTTAAAACACCCCCCTCCCAAACGAACTTTACCCTATCTTTTAAGTCCAACATAAGGCCAAAAAGATTTTTTTTTTCTATTCCTTTTAAAACACCCCCCTTTTCTGCCTCTTCCCATGTTAATCTCCAAATATCCTTTGATTTTTTGTTCAATATTTAAAAAAATATATCCTTTTTCAAACTGTACATCAAAATTCCATCGAAAAATATTGTTTTAATGTTGACAAACTCTCTAATTGATCAGTTTGTTATCGTGATGTACGAATTTGAAGAAAAAAAAAAGATTTCGAGTCTAAAAAATAATGTATCTTGCAGCACATTATCTAGACTGTTCATTTTCAAGATTTTCATATGTTTAAATATCTACTTGATTTTAACCATTTTTTAAATTTAAAATTTTATAATTAGATATAAAAATATATGTTAAGATAATCCTAAGAATGTTTTACACCAAAATTACATGCTATGATAAAATTTGGAGGTGCACCAAGGGAAGCATTGTTCTTTTTTGCTCTATTTTATAACATTCAGCGAATCTCCTTCAATAATAAAGCTATATCCAGAATACCTTGTCATCAGGAGTTCCAAATCATGCAAGGCTCCCTGTAATTCAACATGGTTAGTCGTAGTAGAACCACACGGTCCAGCAAATGCAAGTAATACATTCTCTTGCCAATCACGGACCACTCCACCAAAACCCGTTAGGCCTGGGTTCCCCAAAAAACTGCTATCAAAATTCAACTTTAAAATTCCCTGATCTAGCGGCTTCCATCTAACACATAGTCTATTTCTAGGCACATCCATCTGAAATAGATTCGACATAAGGAGAGAGTATTCGCTAGTAAGATATTTCCTACTATACAAACTGTGTCCATAATATATTAGTAAGATATCTAGAAAGCTTATTTTGAGGGTATCCATAATTTTTCCTATAAGATAGTAGTATATTTTGTCATTCAATCACATATTTTGTCATTCAATCACATGTGGTCTCAAATGCACATCCTTTTATGATGGTCCTATGTAGCTGTAGGATGTTTAGAAGGTTGATTTTAAAGATACCTATAAATTTCCATCTAATAGCTCTACGACAGTAGAACTTAAATGCATGAAATTTTCCCAGTAAGATATTAATGTTCATTGCCATTCAATTGCATGCGGTCCCAAACTCTCATCCTTTTATGGTGGTCCTCTGTAGCCGTACGGCGGTGGTAGCCGGATATGGAAAAGCAAGGGAGGGGACCAGGCGTCGGCCATCAAAGAATTCATTGAAACCTCAAGCTCGTGGAGGGCGCCTTGGGCAACAAGCCGATCTTTGGAGGTAACAAATTAGGGTTTGTGGAGGTTGCCATGGTCCCTTTTGTTTGCTGGTTCATGGCTATGAGGTCCGTGGTGGGTTT